TATTTAGATTTTTACAGCTATGGTGAGAAACGTTTAAAATCTACAACAGCCCTGTCGCGTCCTTTCAGATATACTAATGATGCGACAAAAGAGGTATTTGAATTGACCGGTATCGGCACCCTGGGGATTTGGCAGTGCGTGCATGCACGCTCTGCAACCGTCTTCGATTCCATTCATTAGCCACTCGTAGGGAGCTATTTGACTAAGTGCATTGTTTTAAGATTTAAAAAGTAAAGAATATTTTATATTTTTATGTACGTTTCTTTGCAAAGCTATATTTAATTATAATTTTCTTTAAAAGTATATTCGTATAATTGAAGAATATTTTGTATGTACCGGTACATCCACCACATATTTTATTTCACCGAGTAAGTTTTTATTATTTTATTTTTAATTGTAGCCCTTATATCGTGACTAGCGATTCGGAATGTAATTGTGATATTAAAATTGCATTTAGAGAAGTCCACGGTTTTTACTGGCTTATGGAATAAACGATACGAATGGACCCTAGACCATCACTGACGCGCGATTGACCGATTGCCCTGGATGTCGGCTTCTTACAGAAACACAGCTTCCCTATCATCAAATGTCACGGAACGCCCCTGCTCATCAGGGTTTTGTTTGTCCCCAATTCCCTAATCGCTTAATTATTTAACTACTTCTTATCTAAAAATAAGTCGAAACCAGTTACTTTGTACTCGAATATTTGTAGTCTCGGGAAAACAGTGGAAAGACAAACTTTTACGACAACGGATATATAAATCGTAAATGCAAGGAAAATAAATTCTAGAGCTTTTTCTGTATCATCTCTCTCATTCATTAAACTTAGTTGTAAATGAGACTGTCGATGTAACGGTTAATTTTTTAACATTATACAAGAATTGTACACGATTTTTTCTACATCCTCTTACAGATGGGATATACGAAATCGTAATATCACTGGTTTAACTTTGAAATCCATGAGTAATATAAAATCGGAGAGCGGAATAAAAATATTAAATATTTTAATGGATTTTTTAACTCCTGTCAACTATACAGAACTATCTTAAAAACATACCAGTAAACTCCTATTGGTAAGTTATAAATGTACTCGTGATTCACGTAATCGGGCGAGGGAGGCCAAATATCTAGCAGGCAGGCGGTTAACAGTTCAGAACCGGTCCTGGATAGAATTGGATGCGGTATACGTGTAGCACCCACCCGAGGTCGTAGGCTTCCACCGGCTAAACCGGGTGAGGTTGGTATTTTGTAAAGCGCGTGCGCGAATCTGGCTTTTTGGATGCTGACGATACAGCGCTTCCACTTTGCCACTAATATTCGAATACACAATAGCAATCTTATCTTTTTTCTCACGTGTAGTATAGAAATTTGTAATAAGATACATAATACGGTTATAAGAAAATACAGTATTGTGCGATTATTTTCATAAAATTAAAATTAATACGTATTTATTTGTTGTTGTTGTCGAAACCGTGTTGTATTTATGTATTGTATACTGGCACAATGACGTGACTTTTCTTCAACACTAGGCAAGTTTCAATCTTTATTCAGCTAGCTGAATAAAGATTGAAACTTGCCTAGTGTTGAAGAAAAGTCACTTCATTGTGCCAGTATACAATACAACGTATTTATTTTTTAGAAAATGCAAGGAAAGCGGCGCATCCACCGCTTCCAATGACAGCACGCCACTGATTGCAACTTTGTTATATCTGCTTCCATCACAGTGGTAGGTTAACGCCTTAACTGTCTCAACCATTTGAATAATTTGTATTGCCAATCATATTTCATATTATATTTATGTTTTTCATTTATATTTTTCTGACAAAATAATCTACTATCAAGGGAAATTCAGATTAGAATCTAATATAGGCCTATCCTCAAACTTTAATGGCAGTAAACGCATCTTGGTAATCCAGATTAGAGTCTGAGTTCACTAATCTGGACCAGATTCCGACATTTTTCTGGAATATTTTGATTTTTATGGGCATGTTAATCTGGATACAGTGGGTTCATTTCTCATTACTAGTCAAGTCCCAATTCAGACTGTTAGCTGTAAAGGCAGAAACCATTCTGAATATGATTACAAAGTCTCTTTTAGTTTCCAAAGAGCGGAAAAACTCAAACAGCTAGAAAAAACAGAGAGAGAGACTTAATCACGAGTCCTTGAATCACGAATAATTCAGATCAACATGCTCATAAAAATCAAAACATTCCAGGAAACTGTCGGAATTTCATATTCCTCATACATGCTGGCCAAATCTAATCGAGTAAGGCTCGTCTGTCCTAAACTAAATTGTATAGGCTAGGTAGTCTTTTAAAAGCGATTGGTTCTTCTTTTATCAAATCATTTACATTTTTATGTATTTTATCAATTTAAATTAAAGTAAATAAATTTGTATTGTTGATGTGCCTGTAATAGATAATTTTATTGTAACTTCATAAATAATGGTAGAATTAAAATTAAAAGTCTAAATTTCTCGTGTTTTGTTTTATTATTGCTAAGTACAGCATTAAGTTTTGCAACAAACATGTGTTAGTTCTCATTAAACATATCAAGTGTAAATTATGAACAATTTATTATCTTAGATATATTCGAAAAATTTACAGGGTGTGTGTTTGTCTAACAATAATATCTATTGATACCTGTATTTACAATAAGAAAAAATATATGTCAATTCACATAATTTATCACAAATTATCAGCAAATGATAATATAATATGAAATCTGCAGGTAATGTCAAGGTATCTAAATTAGGAACATTTTTTAAATTTACATTGGATGACTGTTAGTAAACACATAATATCTTTAAATATAGAAAATATTAATAACTGAATTTAAAAAGAAGAAAAAATGTTTAATGTAATAATATTATCACGTTTTATCTTCATTTTTATACTTCTTTCTTGTGGAAATTGTAACCGTAAGTAAAAAGTTAATTTTTTTACCAATCAATGTATCTATAATACGTTGTATAAATATACCTTAATTAAGAGAATTTGTTTCACATAAAAGAAATATAATGTCTAAATAAAATATTAAAATTTTATTTTTAATTTCAAGCTATTTATACATATTATTTGATGGCGTATAAAACATTTTCAGACACTATTTTTCGGTTAAAAGTGTGTCTTATACGCCAGTAAATACGATAATTTCTTTTATTATGCTTGATATATCATTCAAACAATAGATAAAAGTATAATTTTTTAAAAAAATTTCTAAAATAAGTTTTATTTTCTTCTATTAGATGAAGTGGAAGGAAATTCCTGTGACGAATTTGTCGATAAAGTGATAGAATCTGCAATACTGGCTTATAAGCATAAAATAGATCCACTACAACCTAAAAATTTAACATTTGAATTTGAGAAGAAGGTTTTATTTATTACCTATCGAGGAGAAGCAAAACTATCAGATACTGTCATCTATGGCCTTTCTACAATCCATCGTGAAGGAGACTGTGAACTTTTTGCTAAAGACGGTGTTCTGAAATTTGCTGTTACTTTAGGAATGGGAGTATTAGAATTTGAATCAAAAGCTAAAATAACATTTATGAAACTTGGCCCAAAAGTCACTTTGACAGGAGAAATTGGATTTGCATTAGTTCATTTTGAGTTTAGCTTTGATAAAAATTCCGGAAAATTGCCTTCGGTTGATAAAGTAGAAATATATGATATTAAAGGTTCAAAAGTAAAGGTTAAGGGTTTAGGACCACTAAATTACGCTGCAGATAGAATCGCTGCATCTGCAATCAAGTTGTTTAGTGGCCGAATCAGAAAGAAAATGGAGGAGAAATTGCGTGAAATATTAGATGATGAAATTAAAAATCATAAATTTCCAACAGAAGAAGAAGACTAATGTTGAAGTATACAAATAAATTTTGTTTTTAATCTCGTCAAATTAAAATTTGTCTGTTTTATTTAAGTAATATTTTCTAGTTAATTGAAATAGGAATTAAAACTTTTTCCCAAAATTATTTAAAATTTCACAAATATTATTAGATCTTTTCCAAATACTAACGAATAGAGAAAGTTTAATTATAAACAATAGTAATATTTGCTAATAATAAATAAATTACTGGAAATTAATATTAATCACTTTTAAATAATCTTGATACTGATTGAATATATTTATAATTTGAAAAAGTTGAAATTATGGTCGACTTCAAGTGTATTTGTGGTGCTCTTGAGAGAAATGGGAAGAAATTGATTTTATAAAACAAATTATTGTAATTGAATTTATAATTTATAATTATGGAAAAAATAATGATTTATTATTAGTTTAATTAATGTAAGAATCTAAAACTGTTAATTTGTGATACTTGAAAGTACCAAATGTACTTTCAAGGTGCAGTTTATTTGGTACTTTCGGGTACCAAGTAAGAAATGTATAAAGTGATTCGCGAATATTATTAATTAATTAAGGCGATTAAATTTAAAATTACACTCCTGTATTCATCAAGATTTACGGCTAACTTTACACTTAACACAGTAAACAGGACACATTTTACTTAGTCATAGTTCGGTCACTTCGGGATTCAGTATTTCTATAGGAACAATTTTTGCAGCAAATTGGTATTTGCAAATCGGCCAATTATCTCACTTTCTTCAATGTACTTAATACCATTTTTTTTTCAATACTAATCACAAGAGATTATTTAATCTTTCTTGAATCATTGTGAATTCCGATTGCACGCCATAGTGTCATGCAATCCCGCATATTCCATTTCCGTTTCGGGTTTGTTTCTTTTTAACATATCTTGGAGAGCGAAATTGGTGAATCCCATGGATCTAGAGCTACAAGAATGTAATTTTTCTGTCAGTGGAACTTTAAATTGAGAATAAACAAGGATGAAAGTTTAGTATTTGTTTCTGGTTTAACGAAATACGGTGGTACCTCAGGATACGAATGCCCCAGCATACGAAATTTTCAGGATACGACATGAAATTCAAACATATTTTTGCTCCACGATACGAACAAAAACTCACCATACGACGTTACATTAGTTCGTAGCGCCATTTTTTATTCACTTCTGTTCATCGGTCTCAGTCCGCGTGTTTACTTCGTCGTGGAAGGATCTTACTCGATAAAGGAAATCTTGAGGTATTATCAGAAAGTGATTGATTTTATTGAAAAGGAACAACCCGAAAATGTTCACACTGGCCGTATTGCTGCTCGGAGTAATGACATTTGTCTAAGTCATTTTAAAAAATAGGCAAAGCCAAATCTCTTTGGATAGATATTTTATCAAGCGACCTCTATCCAGTGAAAGTGCTGGTGGAAGTGAAGGAAAGAAAGCAAAAAGCAGTGAATAAAAATTTAAAATATATACCTATAAAACAACACTAATTTTTTATCTTTTCTAAGTTATTTTTACGTTATTGTTACATTTTGTTATGTAAGTTAAGTTTTAGTATCATTTTCCTTTTCCCTCTCTTCCGCCACCAGTTTACACCTCCACCGTCGTCTATCCTCAAAGGTAAAGCGCAAATAAAACTACATTTTTTTCATCAATTATTATTCTATTATGATTATTTATACACTTACAACTACAAAACGCATTTTGAAGTGTTTTCCTTACTATAGTTATTTTTTTAATGTACTACTTAGCTTTAATTTGAGTGTGTTTTTCGTGTTGGAACGAATTATTTGGTTTTAAATGTAATCGTATGGGAAAAAATGATTCATCTTATGACATTTTCATGATACGATTTCAGTTTCGGAACGGATTAATTTCGTATCCTGGGGTACTGTACCACTGTACAGGAAAAGTTGCCATTTTAATTATGAAGAATACTGGTTAAAATAAAAACAAAATAATTTAGTAAGTTTATCGTTTCTATATTATTTTTGAAAATTTAATTTCTTATATTTTAATGCGTCCACATATTNAAGTTTAAAATATCGTAAAACCGTTTGAGAAGCGAAGCAGTTCTTGACGAACCACGCATTTTGCTTATTAATGTTTTTTTTTTTTTTCAATACTTTTATAGAGTTTCCATTTTGTTTTATAGCGGCATGTTAATGAAAAATGTCCTGTTATAATATTTCGGGGTAGACGGTACTTAAATTAGAAATGCCGTGTGTGTGTTATGCCAAAAATGTATATACGAATTTTCAGTCTACGCTGCTATATAAAGAAATTTACATAAGATTTTAGTACTTAGACGTGACGAGTAGAGTAAGATTTGATAGAAATAGTGAAAGAATGAAGTCGACGGTAATAATATTTGCATGATTTGGCCACGAAAATGAAAAAAATAAATATATTTGTGTGGAATAGAAGAACCAGTTTAGTGTTTTTATTGTCGTTAAATTAAGCAATTGTTATCATTGTTACGATATACATTGTCGTTTGCATTGTTGAAGGTTAAATGACGATTTTTACAATAAAAATGAGGATTTTAGGGGGTTGGAAAGGGGTTACATTGTTGTCGACCAAAAAAATTGGTTGACAAGTGCAAGAAGCGTGTATGTGTAAAAAAAAAAAGAAACGTCGGACTAGAACACAGTCCGGTGCATCGTTTGTGTTTGTGTTATTTCTATTTTTGGTTTATTTGTGGTCGAAGGGGTTCTTCCAACGGGACGTCCCAGTGGGCCCAGGGCCGCCGATAAAGCGAAAATCCCAAAGGGGGCCCGTAGGGCGGCTCAAGAACGGGATATGCCCCGGAGAGCGGCCCTGCTACCAAAGGGGCCTGCAGGGCGGAACCGGAATCCGTATCTTAAATCCGGATGTAATCGACCAACTGCGGGTTCAGCGCAGGGCGCCGGATCCGCCCAACGAGCAGGCAGTTGTCCCTGGAAACCCCTCCCGCCGAGCAAAGTGGCTCGGATGTCCTGTTGCATTATAGATTTAAGCAACAAGCATAAACTTTTCATTGTTGCATTATAGATTATAAACAACAAACATAAACTTTTCCATTGTTGACGTTCTGCTTTTATTAAAAATTCTGCACGTTTACAGCTGGTGTTTTACAGCTCTAAACAATTTATTTACGAAGCAGCTTCTCAAATTTTAAAACTTTTCTTTCAAGTCCGTCCGGAACGTTTTACTTCTACGAATTTCTTAAAAGTGTATTTATGAGTCGTCTTAGATTTCCTTTTTCCGAAATTACATTTCGTCGTTATTTCGCAAATTCAAATTTCTAGTAATATTTAAAAACTCGTTTTGAAACTGAGTTTTCAATCCATAATTTTTTTATTTCAACAAAATTTCCTCTAGCCCTGAACACTGGTGTCGCTTTCTTCTTTGCTCTTCTTTCACTTATCGTATTTGCACGTCGTCGACGAAATGCCGGGTGTCATCGGGCTGCGATTTGAAAAGATTGTAAACTTATAAATGCCCACTGTCGCCGTCTGTCCGGCAGTCTTACATTAATCTCGAGAACGAACATAGATAGACGAAAGACGAGATCAGATATGAAAACCCCGAGGGAAGGAAGCCCCGATTAAATATACAGGAACTTCCGATGCAAACCGCAAGTCACGTTATTTCAGTTAAAAATTTTTCCCCGAAAGATGTTAGATAGGTGACCGGCACGACTCCATTGTTAGAGGAAAAGTATGATGTACAGGGACAAGCTTCTGCTAATTTATACTAATATTATAAAGAGGTAAAGTTTGTAAGTTTGGATGTAGGAGGTAATCTCGGAAACTACTCATCCGATTTCAAAAATTCTTTCACCAATATTTAGAATGGACGTTCAGGCTGTATATTATTCCGTTAAGCATTCATATAAATTGAAAGATATCATCTAGGTAAGCGTTATATTTTTGGTGTACGCAGTGCATGCGTCCGAACTTGTGATATATAAATTTGCATGTCCTGACTGATTCATCATCGCCCGGAGCAAACCGCTGAACCTAAAGATGTGAAATTTGGTACACAGTTAGGGTACGTCGTGAAAATGCACAGTAAGAAGGGATTTTTCGAAATTTATCCGCGGGAGGAGTGGGAAAGGTTTAACGCTTGACCTGAAGAACGTCTTCTACTGTACTATTTTAGATGCGATTTTTTGTTTTTATAGTAACGACTAATGCGGGTAACAGCTAGTTTCACATATTTTAATTAAGATTTATCATATTCGTTTTGTAAACCGCGCTTAAGTTATCGTGATGTGTTTATTTTTTATGTCCGGTCATTGAAAGCCCGCTATGGATCGAGTGTCAGTTTATATACAAAAGGTAAATTGTTTACAAACTGAGTCTTTGTCTATTTTCTGATAAATTTACACTTTTATTTTGTCAATTGTTCACAATAGCAGATGTCTTGTGTGTAAGCTTTAAGTCGGATGTGCGCAAGCTAATAAATTTTCTTGTTATCTGCTTTCTCTTCGATCAATTTTTAATTACATTATAATTAAACATAAAAAATACTTAAAACTGAAAAAAACGAAAGAAATGCGTTGTTTTTGAAGAAAAAGCTTCAAACTTTATATTCCATTGTCTCGCTTTTCTGCGAAATTTGACACTGATGAGTCATTGTGTTTACAGTTGGATGACCTTGAGAACAGCTGGTGTTGGATTTTTCAGGACATTCTCATAAAACTTACAGGAGGCTAATTGTTTATAGTAGGGTGAATACTAGCTGGCTGTATATTTTTAAATATTTTTTAATGTACAGTACAGTACAGTACAGTTCTGTATTTATTTTGTGCAAAATAAAGAAATAATTTTTAACAATGCAATAGCTACAGTTATTATTTTTAAAAAAAATTTGATAGGCTTAACATGGAGGGAAATCAACGCGAAGTAGGTTAATAGCGATATACTGATATACTAATTACATGGGATATATTAATATACTACACTAATAATGGATTTTTTCATACTTTTCGGTTATCCGACTTTTCAATTATCAGACCAACCCCAGTCCCCAATTGAGTCGGA